GAGAGTTTTGAAGCTGAGAATAACCTCAGATCTTCTAATGCTGATTTGTTCCCTACCCTGATTTTAGCAAAGTTTCCTACCAAGCCATTCTCAAAAAAAGTACTAAGTCTCTGCCAAAACCGGTTTGGCTCAGTGGATAGAGCGTCGGCCTGCAGACTGAAGGGTCCCAGGTTCGATTCCGGTCGGGGGGCATGTACCTTGGTAGCCGGCACATCCCCAGTGTGGGATGTGCAGGAGGCAGCTGATCGATGTTTCTCTCTCATCGATGTTTCTGACTCTCTGTCCCTCTCCCTTCCTCTCTGTAAAAAAATCAATAAAATATATTTAAAAAAATAAATAAAAAATCGGGGTGGGGACCCTTTGCCCTGCCAAGGGCCATGTGGACACTGGTAACATCATTCACCGGCCACACAGAACCACCCGCGTAAGCATCAGCCCTGTGTCTGATCACAGATCTCACTGCCTCACCCGATGCCGTGGGGGGGCCAGACGAATGGTTCTTGGCTGCATAAGGCCCCTGGGCGGGTGGTCCCACCTGCTCTACATCAACAGAGGCCTCCTCACTGGAAGAGTCTTACATCCCTTCGCAGCGGCATCACTAAGGGCGGCGGCACCACTAAGGCGGTCCAGGAACCGCCACGGCGCCTGCCTGCGCTGCTGTGGGCCATAAAAACAGGGCGTGGACCCGGTCTGGGGCACAGCTTCAGGAAGAAAGGAGACGGCGCCCAGGGAAGGCAGCAAATGACCAGACGCACGGCTCACCTCGCCCCGCCGGAGCGGTCATGGGGCAACAGTGGCACCTGCCTACCTGGGGCGTGTGGTTCCCTCCCCCACCCTGTGTGGTCGGCTCTCCTGGACGAGAAAGAGTAGGGGGACCGAGAACCCCCACTCCGTCCGACCACGGGGGTGGCCTCGGACAGGCCGGAGCCCCCACGCTCCTCCCGGACACGCCGTGCTCTGGGCGGCCAGGAGGCAGAGGGCGGGCCTGCTGACCGCCTCCCAGCCCTTTCGCAGATGGAGGGGCTGTAGAGACCCCGAGGCTCCCGAAGGGTGTGCCTGCTTCCTTCCACGGACCTTCTGAGTGGCTACGCCGTTGCCAAGTGCCGGCCCTTACCCCGAAGAGCCAGCGAGATTCAGTCACCAGCACACGCATGTTCCCACACGCAGGCCACATACCCTGAGATAGGCATGAAACGGGGCTGGAGCGCTGAGACCGCCCTCCTGGGGGACACAGGGAGCTCGGAAGAAGGGGATCGCAGTGCCAGG